AAGAGATTCCTCTAAATCCAACTTTTATTTGTATATATTAAGCTATTTATCCTTGCATCACCTAAAGGGACCTGAGTTCGATCGTGGATACTAAATACTAAGATGGTGTGGCCTTAGGTTTGGTCGCAGCCTCCTTTAGATTTGTAATCTTCATTTAGTCTCGTTTTTTCAACTTGTTAGGAAAGGTAGACTATATGGAATACACCCGGTCTTGTGCCCTCTGTCATAGTACTCATGATAATTTTCAATATCTTGCATATACCAAGTTAACTGTCCGATGATGGGAATTATCATGAATTTGAATAAAATCCGGGTTCTCGATAATTGCATAGTGAATTATTGTGACACGACTTTTCATTTCGAGGCAAAAGATGGTTAGAAGGAATTCATGAAATTGTCTGCCCGGAGTAGCAGGACGATTTAATAACGGTCATCATAGGTTAAAGTTACAGGTTATGCCCTTATCTGTCATACCATTTTATTGATATCTCCAGAGATAGGGACAATTCGTAAGACTGCTTCGATACAACCTGTCAAGAAGTGACAACACTCTTAAATCTTTTGAAGATATGAAGACCAAGATGTTGTGGCTTCTGTTATGGTAGCAGTCTCCTTCCGATTTATAGAAGTGGGTTAACATCGTTGTCGCAACTTGGTCCTGTTGTCAGGGAGACTTAGTAGAACGCACCTAGTCCGAAGTCGTCTGCCATAGTAGTTGTCATGATGCCCAGCATCAGACAGTGGACTTGGTACATTCTCAAACGTTTCGCCGGCATCGTAGTCGGCATCATCCTTTGCCGTTCTCCGCACTGAGCTACGAACTCGTCAAAGAGACAAGACGAGTTCGTAGCTTGGTGCGAAGAATGGCAAAAATCACTGATGATGCCGACTACCATGCCGGCGAGACGTTTGAGAATGTACCAAGTCCAGGACCAAGTTGCGACAACGAGGTCAACCCACTTCTTAAATCTTTTGTTCCTGATAATGCGGATGAAGATGATGCTGTCGACTTGTTTAAGACTAGTTTCATCGTGAATAAGAACTTGGTTTCTTCCACGGTATTGGATCTCCCTCGGGATGCTAATTAGTCAGTACAGTCCGGCCTGGATGAGAGGACATTTTAGTAGGCAAAAACAAGTGAAATTCAGTACCTTCGTGAGGCCTACTCATCTGATGCGGGTAAATTCGACTATCATTCCATAATTTGCCTTAAATGACCTGAGCTGACTAGGTTCTTATTCACTAATTAGTGATCATCTCAAAAACTATTCACATTGAAATTGATGTAATCGTGTCGATAAGCCCAGAGCAGCCCTCCGCAATGCTGAAACCTCGGCCGACCCCGCAGTAGAAGGTGCGTTTAAGAGGCAGAGCATAGCGAAATGCGCTTAAAGTGATGTACACTAACCAAAGCTCGACATCTATAAGCCTCATTCTAAGCCTAGCAAGGCGCGATTACCTCAGTTGCATCAGTCTAGCACATGAACCATTCGAAGCCGACCTACCTCAATAACTGGCTTTGGTATGAAGTTTAGACGCCCTAAGTTTCTTAAGTGACTTTTGGACTGACAGTTGAATTATCATTAAAGGAAAGGAACCGGCCTCTCAATAAAATGCTGAATTATCTTCAGATTTGACGTCGAAAGGGTCTTCTCATCG